GGACAAAGGGATAAAAATATTCTATAAAAAGTTCAGATAAGTCTTGACTTACCCCCAAAATTGGGGACCAGAATTTCCATTGCTAAACAAAGCAGTTGTTTTGATTGGGCCCGATTTTATGATATATTTTTTTTTGCCGTGGCTTTTATTTATTTTGTCTTTCCAAAGCAAGAAAGCAAGAGGAAAGTGAGAAATCCATAGAAAGTATCTTCAAAGCTGTGGAGGTACTTGTGTAGGGAATTCCACAATTTGGTCTGTTGAGCTTTCATTAAATTATTCTTACTTATATGCGCAAAATAGAATATTTCGCTATTTTTTTTTATCAGACAAGAGCTGCATCTTTGCAATCGTCCCTCATGCCAATAACATGATTCTGACATTCCCTTTTCTTCTGTTTTCCTTTTGGTTTTTAAATCGCTGCTTTAAACTGTGGAAGAGCTGATGACGATTCCCACCAGTAGGGGGCTGTCTCTTACTGAAATCTAAAACTTTCACTTATTGTCCAAAAGGGCTAGTTCTGTGCAGGAAATGTTCAGCCTGGTTTTTAGCTTTGACTTCTGCTTGGAGGGGTTATGGAATCGTGAAATAATGCGAGTTCCTGGAACACCAGGGATTAACAATATTTGGTTTTCTGAAAGATTTTTTTTACAACAAAATTATGTTTGCTGCTTTGGGTTGTATAAAATAGAGGTGGGAGGACAAGGAGGGAGGGAGGGAAGGAGGGGGAAGAGGAGGAAGAGGAGGAGGGGAAGGAGAAGAAGGAAAGAAGGAGAAGAAGGAGAAGGAGGAGATGGATAAAGAGAGGGAGAAGCAGAAAAAAAATGGAGGAGGAAGAGGAGGGGCGGAGGAGGAGATGGAGAAATTACAAGAAGAGCCAAAGAAAAGAGGACAAGAAGGAAAGGAGAAGAGGAAGAGGACTAAAATGAAGACAAAAAGAGGAGAAGGAGGAAAAGAGAAAGGGAAGAAGAGAAGACTATGGTGAAGAAGTGGAGGAGGAGAGATGAAGAGGAGCCAAAGAAAAGGGGAAGAGAAGAAAGAGGCGGAAGAGGGAAGAGATGGAGACTAAGAGGAAGATGGTAAAGGGGAAGAAGAGAAGGGGAAGAAAAAGGGGGAGAAGGAGAGACAGGAGGAAGAGGAGGGAGCAAAAATTTGGGATGCATGACAAACCCACCAATAATCCTAAAGTTCATTTTGCAATGAAAGAGCCTTCCCAGCCCGATGCTTTCCAGTGATGTTGGATTACAAATCCCATAATTCATGGCTGGGAATGATGAAAACTATCATATCAACAGATCCCGGAGTGAGAATTAGGGACTGGTAAAACTCCATCCCACAGCCAAGAAAGAATTCAAAATATTTTGTATTCAGTCAATTAAACCTTTGGCATCTCCCACGCAAAGGAACACAAAGGGTGCTGTGGGAAAGACTGTTTCTATCTCAGCCTGTTGCCTGTCAAACAGTGTTGGGGAGATGATGTATTATTACAATCATGGCTTAGTGTGACCTATTGTATAACTGCATTTGAGCATATTATCTGAAAGTGATAGGTTTTACCCTCCGGCTGTCCATGAACATAATCAGAGCAATTAGGAACTTGGGGCTGCATTCATACCAAATGCAATAATTGCTTAATTTTTATTTTATTAATTTTTCTATTGAATACATTTCTTAGTGCTTCATAAACATTGTGTTGTCTAGGTATTTAATTTGTGTAACAATATAGATCACATGCTAAATCTCCACCCCTTTTTTCCATCCATTGACAAAATAAATTCCATGTTCCATAATATTCTCCGTCCTCTTTCTGTTCGGTTTTCAACGTCAATCTATCCATTTCTGCCCAATCTGGTATCTTCTTGACTATTTCTTGATCTCGCGGTATATCTTCATTTTTTTTCCAGGACTGCGGAAACAGCCCTCGCTGCTGTTAAGACGTGCAATATTAAATGCATACTTTTCTTATCACGTTTTTCAGATACGATACCTAATAAAAACAAAATGCTTAATTTTAAGCTGGGTTAGTTTGTGGGGTAAAATAAGAGCAAAATTCAAAACGTGGCAAGAAAAGTTGTAAAATGGGACCAAACTTATCACTTAACAAATAGCTCACTTAACCACAGAAATCTGGGGCTCAATTGTGATTTTAATTCGAGGACTAGCTGTATGACTGATGGACTTTCGTCTATAAATTTCTCACTTAGCAACATAAATCTTGGACTCACTAGAGGCTTTTAGGAAGAGACTGGACAATCACTTGTCTGAAATGGTATAGGGTTACTTTTTCTATTCCAAATGGTCCCCATAAAAATAGCAAAAAAATATTCTGATGAACTAAATACAACAATTTTTAATTATTGTAGGGAAAAAAGCAAGAATAAGATTGAAAATGTTGCAAGAGTTTAAAAATAATGGGGGTTTGGGGCTATCAGATTGGGAGCTTTATTATCAAGCAGCTGTGTTAATATAGGTGAGGGAATGGATAACTGTTAGACACAAAAGGTTACTGTTTTTAGAAGGACATGCTCTCCAATTAGGATGGCATGCTTTTTAATGGTACCATTAAAAGCAAAACTCCTACGTATTTTCAAAGACATTATATAAGAAATGCTCTACTTACAGTATGGGAAAAGGTGAAAGCAAAAAATCTAGATCCAAAATCCAGTTTGGCTCTCAACAATGGAAACATTTCTTCATCCAAACATAGTAAATCTGGAAAAAAAAAATCTATAGGTGCTCCTGCTATAGGTGCATCTTTTGCTAACATCAGTATTTTTATTTTATCATCCCACATTTGAGGAATTTCACAAACTTGTCTGTCTGAAAAAGAGGTCAAAAGAGGAAGAGGAAGAAGCTGAATAAAACAGAAGTAAATATAGATATAGATAAGCACACACACTATAAGTAATATCACCACTGGACTGTGCTTGACTATAGATCAAAGTGTACAAAGTGATTAGAGGTGAAGACTACATGGTATAACTGAAAATAATGGTTATAATTGTGGCGTATAATATGTATATTATGTACATCTATAAAAGATTACATTGTGTATTTATGAGAATAATTGTTATAATTAGGATGCATAATGTTATGTATATTTTAAAAAGATGTGATACAGATAGTACACGGTCATTGTAGAAATGGAAATGTGATGTCTGATAAAGGAAAATGTACAATAAAAATAATAATAATAAAAATAAAGAGGAAGAGAAAGATGTGGTGGAATTTGTCTGCTAAGGCCACATTAGATACCAAAGCAGAAACGTACATTGAGACATTGATTAATGAAAGAAAGAAGGGTGAAATTTTAACATAAATAGTTGGGAAGACATAAATGCATGAGTGGTATTTTGCTTTTATATATATGCATGAGTGGTATTTTATATATATATATATAAAATACCACTCATGCATCATCACAAAATCTCCAGAACCATAAAGCCTACTACAAGCTTGAAATTTGGCATGTATTTTTCTTTTGGCTTCTAGGTGCTCACTAAGAAAGGATTTTTCAAAATGACCATCAGATTTTCTATATTATTATTAACACGCTCTGATGCTAAGGAGTTCTACTCCCCCTCCCCACCTGCAAAACACAAGCAGAGGAGTTTCAGTTTCACAGCAGCAAGCAGCTTTAGTACAGAACAGTTGAGTTAAGCCACACCCAAGCTCCTTGCGGTCTCTCCTTCTTGCTCACACAGCAAATACTGTTTCAGTTATCAAACAGCCCTCAACTCTCTCACACACCATCAGGACGCTAGCCAGATGAATACCAATGGATGCTGGTGGGCAGAGGCAGAATTTTTTTCTCTCCTTATTTTCCTCCCCCACAAAATAAGCCCGACTACATGCTTTCATAGCGAAACACAGTTCTCCAGCTTGTGTTAATATATATGAAAGAACAAGAGGGAGGTTTAGAAAAGGAAGGGCGGAAGTATAAGGTATGTGTAAACATTATGAAATAATGAAATAGAATAGAATAGAGTTAAGAATGGAATAGAATAGAATTGGAATAGAATAGAATATGTAATAATTGGGAGCAATAATAACTATGTTATTATTAAAGTATTAAAATGTATGATACCCAGGTATCACACTATTCACATATTGATCTGTATAAAGAATATATTAAAAAAAAAACCCTCGAAATGATATCAAAGCAGTTTGATTCCCTGGTCTTCAGCCACCCGTTGCAAAGCATTGCAAGTAGTCCTCGACATACGACCAGAATTGAGCCAGAAAGAGAGAGAGAGAGCGAGAGCGAACGAAAGAGCGGGGGGGCGGGGGCGGGGGGAGAGGGCGGAGCCCTCGTTCTTCCTGCTCCAATGAAGAGGCGCCTTTGCGCCAAGCCCTCGGGAGCAGCAGCCAATGGACGGCCACCTTGCCCCTTCGTATTTATAGATCCTATTTAAAGAGCCCTCGGGAGGCTCGTTCCGGCTCTCGGGCGTGGCGGGCCGGATCGGAATGCGGGAAAGTCGGCCGTGGGGCCGGGTTGCAAATTCCTCCTTCCTCCCTCGGCCACCCCAACTTTTTGCAAACGGCGGAGGGGGGGAGGGATGGCGGCGCTTTGGGAAGGCTGCGATGCTTAATCGGGGTTTTGGTTTTACTGCGCTCTGCGAGGCGGAAGATGGAGAGGCGAGGAGTATGGGGTGGGGTGGGGATGATGGGTTCCCACGGCACGCGGAAGCCCGGGTCAGGGAGCACAGAAGGCGGGTGGGGTTATTATTGGGCTCCTCACCCGTGTCAAGACAAGAGCGGTGGGAATCCAACTCTGGAAGCCATTTTTTTTTTTAAAAAGAAGAGATTGGACATCTTATTTGTCTTGACAGGTTCCCAAAGGTGCCCTTTCAGGAGGCAACTGGGCTTTCTTTGAAGACGTTTCGCTCCTCATCCCAGAAGCTTCTTCAGCTCTGACTGGATGGTGGGGAATGGAAGCAGGAAGCATTGATGTTCAATTATGTTCAAATAACACAGCTTCTCCCCAACCACCCCCAAACAAGGCTGTGTGCTTTCTCCACTCCCTCTACACCAATGACTGCATCTCAAAACAATCCATCTGTTAAACCACTGAAATTTGCAGATGGTACAACGACGAATCCGCATACGAGGAGGTTGTACAACTTGCCTCGTGGTGCGACCAGAACAATCTCGAACCGTGAAAATATTTACAGACCCCTCACATCCCGGACATAAACTGTTTCAATGCCTTCCCTCAAAACGACGCTATAGAGCACTGCATACCGGAACAACTAGGCACAAGGACAGTTTTTCTGCGAATGCCATCACTCTGCTAAACAAATAATTCCCTCAACACTGTCCAACTATTTACAAAGTCTGCACTACTATTACTATTAATCTCATTACTCCTTATCACCCATCCCCCGCCCACTTGTGACTGTATGACTGTAACTTTGTCGCTTGTATCCTTACAATTTATATGGATTGTTTCCTAGTATGATTTGATTGCTTATTGTACCCTATGATATTACTAAGTGTTGTACCTTATGATTCTTGACTTTTGATGAATATATCTTTTCTTTTATGTACACTGAGAGCATTTGCACCAGGACAAATTCCTTGTGTGTCCAATCACACTTGGCCAATAAAGAATTCTATCTAACTGAACACCCTCAAAACCGTAGAAATGGTGGTTGACTTTAGAAGAAACCCTCCAATACTACCACCTCTTACAATACTAGACAAGAGTATCAACAGTAGAGGCCTTCAAATTTCTAGGTTATATCATATCACAGGACCTAAAATGGACACCTAACATCAAAAATGTCATCAAAAAAGCACCACAAAGAATGTTCTTTCTGCGCCAACTCAGAAAGCTCAAAGTGCCCAAGGAGCTGCTGATCCAGTTCTACAGAGGAATTACTGAGTCTATCATCTGAAACCTCTATAACTGTCTGGTTTGGTTCTGCAATCCAACAGGACTGACACAGACTTCAGAGAGTAATTAGGACTGCAGAAAAAACAATTGCTACCAACATGCCTTCCATCGAGGACCTGTATACTGCACGAGTCAAAAAGAGGGCTGTGAAAACATTTACAGACCCCTCACATCCCAGACATAAACTGTGTCAATCTAAGGGAATCTCATCTAAATCCTTCCATTCTCCACTATCCTGTCAGAGCTGAAGAAGCTTCTTGCATGAGAAGCAAGACCTCTTCAAAGCAAAAAACCAAGAAAGTCCAGTTGCCTCTTGAAAAAGTACCTTTCAGACGACTATGACCTGGATGACTGAGAATCACTACAGAATTTGTCTGACATGTTATGTAGGGTCTCCTGCTCGAGCAAGGGGTTGGACTAGAAGACCTCCAAGGCCCCTTTCCAACTCTTGTTATTCTGTTAATCCGATCCTGGGTTGATGCGTGCCCGGATTTAAACTTTGGGGTACCCAGCAAAAGAAATCTGGGGTTGAAGTTTAGGAGAAAAAGAACCAGGACACAAAGTTTACAGCACATAGTTAAAAGTGTGGATTATTTGCGGTCGTTTGGTGCATGGTGTGAACATACTCACTGGTTCCTAAACTATAGCACAATTTCATTTGTAAGTACAGGTACAACAAGATCCAGCGACACCCTGAACAAATGGGGCTATCCGTTGTCTTCTGTTTGTTGTGATTGTGATAGCATGGAGACAATAACACAAATGTATACCTGCTCTTTGTGTCCCAGTCATTGTACACTCGATCTCATGGCAGTGTGACAGAATGCAATTAATGTTGCCAGTTTCTGGGCAAAATCTGTTTAATTTGTATCTGTTTTAATTTTGTATTTTATAGCTTAAATTTTGTGTAATATAGTGATATTTCTGACACAAATGCATTTGTAAACCAGAGTTCAGGATACTCTGCAAACTCACACCAGCAATATAGTGTAATTAAACAATCACAGCTTAGAATTCTGTGAGGATGCTGCTTTGCTACCTGTTTTGTGGTCTGTCCTTAGTCTTTAGAGCTCTCTTCCCCAAAGGATTTCAGCATATTAACAGGGAAATACTAATTACTCAGAATTCACACAAGTGATTGATTAACAGATTTACTGCACAGAGTGCAGCTGAGTAGCTTTACACCACCCAATATGCCCTCAGTTGACCTTACAAACCACAGAACTCTGCGTCCTCAACACGATAAGCCAAAACTGATTACTCACGGCGAAGGGCAAGGATGAGGAACAGTGGCCCTTTTATGACTGGTGGATTTCAACTCCCAGAATTCCTGAGCCAGCCATGCTGGCTCAGGAATTCTGGGAGTTGAAGTCCAAAGTCATGAAAGGGGCCATCGTTGCCCCTCCCTGCCTCAGAAATTCTGGGAGTTGAAGTCCACCAGTCATGAAAGGCCCATGGTTCCCTACCCCTGCCTCAGGAATTCTGGGAGATGAAGTCCACCAGTCATGAAA